TTTGATATGAAAAATTAGTACAAGTGGGATTCGAACCCATGACCTTTGGCTCAATAATAGCCACTGCTGTAACCACTTGAGCTAGCATGACTTCAAAGCTAATTTTTCATCTCAACCAAAAACCTTAGATAAAAAGAATAATTAATTGGAATAATTAATATGGCAATTATGACCACTAAGCAAATTTGGATTAAATTAATTTAAAAAATAATTATTCTATTGAGAAGTTAAGTAGTGAAAATTACAAATGAGAAATGTTTTATATTTCTTTTTACCTAATAATTCCAATAATTAGGTAGTTTGGTTGCCTCTAATCATCCCACTCTACCTACTCTTGCAGTCCATAGGCATAGATGTTTGGCATCAGCCAGTGCTTCATGCAATGGAGGATGTGGATTAAAACATTATGGCATGACTTATATTGGTTCATAAATTTCCATACAGTTTCATGGGACTGCACTCATAGCAATGTTAAATGATGGCCATCTGCGTCACCCTCTCATTAGATTTTCTCGTCACACTTGGACTTACATATTTGAGCAAACAGGTCCAACACTTTAATTATTAATGTATTATTTATTTATTTACGGATCGAAATCCACTATAAAAAAAGACATTTTGCAATAACAAAAAATATAAATAATATATGTAAAAATACAAATAATATGTAAAAAGAATACGGACGTATATACATGGTACTGATATAAATGGTAAATATAAATGATAAATATAAATGATAAATATAAAAATACAATTAAAGAGTAAAAACTGAACAACAAAAATGAAAGACATAATTACTAACCAAATAAGGCAGAGGAAACAAAATAAAGCTGAAGGACAATTGAAACTACAATAATTAGGTATATTTTTAATGAAAATAATGCTCTTTGTAAATACATAATAAGACTAGAGTGCGAGAATTAGTTGAACCAGTAAATGAAATAAATTGTAATAATTTTGTACAGTATGAAATATAAAAACATTCAACTAAGGTTGTAGGATATGATTTTTCACAGATTGCACAGAATTATAGATGATAGCTATTGCAGATGTTGTTACTCTTGATCATCATTCTGTGTAGAGAAGAGAGCATGTAGTTAGAGCTTTGGAATTCAATATAAAATAATTTATAGGTTTTCAGAGAGTACGAAGGGACATGTAGCTGTAGTTGAGAGAGGAGAGAAGGACTATCAATGAGATTGTTTAATAATTTAAATACAAAAACAATATCAAAGTAATCCCTTCTTAGTGCCAGTTCGAAAAGTTTAAATTCAGAGCGGATTCCAGGGTAGGCAGAATTTGGAGGAAGATTGAGTTTGTAGGAAAGTTTTTTTAAAAATTTATTTTGTACAGAATGAAGAATTTTTTGATAATTTAGATAGAATGGGTTCCAAACAGGTGTAGCATATTCTAGTATGGGTTGTACAAAAGCTTTATAAAGATGAACAAAACATAGAGGATTTGTAAATAGGTGTTCCGGATGATGAAACCTAGCATCTTCATAGATCTATTTTTTATTGAAGAAATATGTTCTTTAAACTTGAGCTTTTGATCAAAAAGTACACAAAGATCTTTTACGACCTCAACTCGCGTTAAAAGAGCATCATGGAGAGTATAGAGATAAATAAAAGGTTGTTTCTTATGAGAGAATGTAATTGTGTAGCATTTGGAAACATTAAGAGCAAGTTTGTTAATAGAGCACCAGGTTAGCACATTATTGATAGAATTTTATAATTGTAAGCAATCAGAAGGAGAAGTGATTATGGAATAGATTTTCAGATCATCAGCAAATAATAAAAATTGAGCAGAAGGGAGAGGAAGATGATTATAATAATGCTTTCATTTCCTTATTTTAATTATTAGTATTTCTCTTCACTTTTGTATCTCTCTATTTTGTTAGATTTTATGATTACTATTTCTTCGATTTTCTTCCCTAGTATTGCTTTACTTTTTATTTATTCATTTGTTTTATGTTTAATTTAATTTCAGTATTTTATAAAAATTTTCATAGATTAATTTAATTATTTCATGTATTCTTTTTTTAAATTATTATTCTGTGTTTGCTCACATCACTGGCTGACAGACTGTTGTCCATGCCATAAAATATTTTGAGTTTGTTTGTATTCTATGTATATAAATACTATTATTCATTCATTCATAAAGTTTTATGGAAAGTTATAAATAAGAAACAATTGTATTAAGTAAATATTGCTGTTTTGTTACATGTTCAGGTTATTGTATTGTTTTCCCTCAAGCCAGTGTATTATACCCATTTATCAGGTTGTAAAATAGTTCTGTAGCATTTTTGTTCATTAAATTCATTTTAATTTTCATGTGCTTTTAAACACATTTAACCAACAATCTATGCACTATTTTGTTCCATTACCTGTCACCATCTTCCATGTAATTTTGTAATTCTGTTCTACCATAAGTGCTCATGTTTTTGAGTGATGAACTCGTAGATGTTTTTTGCAGTCCTCAAATGAAGTACCGTTTTCCCCAGTAATAGATTTGCTTTTGAACGTGCTAGTCACATGAGGACGAGCGTTATCCTGGTGGAAAACAATCCCTGAGTTATGAACTAGCCATGTACTATCATTTTTGATCTATTGATAACTTTAATCATTCCAATTGTATACGGTAAAAGTAAAAAGTAATTCAGTCATACTAGATGCTCAACTACCCATTGGGTGTTGCACACAAGACCACCTTACAAATCATTTTTCATGTAAAGTGATTTCTGTCATACAAATAGGCTTATAGTCAAACTACCTATTGGGTGTAGTGGGCGAGGGGTCAGACCATTTTACAATATATTTTTCATATTATCAATTAAAACGACATGTGCAGTATTGGGATTTCCTTCTCTACCCCTTCAAAATCCAATGTATATAAACATAAAACAGCAATATCTGATTGGCCCTCTCAACCCGACACGCAAGAATGGCAGAATTATGCAGAAAAAAAAACATTTTGAGTGAGTAGAAATACTTTGATTGAATATAAAATATATATATTTTGCATTGTATAAATTCTCTTTTTTCCATATCCTACATGTATTTGTTAAACTTAAACAATGCTTGTAAATCCCAGGCCCTGAAGATGATCTCAATAAAGATCGAAACGTTGGCACAATAAAGAAAATGTTTTTCTGAAACCTACCTCACACCAGACCGCATCTCACGATTTCCGAATAATTATGTAATTATTATTTTATTATTATTTACTTTTGAGAAGATAATAAAAAATATTGAGACTGCTCACGTATTTCTACCAAAATTTTTAATGCTCTTTTTAAGGATCGTATGTCAAGAGGATATCATCACCTTTTGCACTTAACATTTTGTCTATTATGTCCTAACATTTGAATATATGAATCCATTTAAAAACCTGGAATGTACATATTTAGGCTTAATAATATATCATTTCCCCTATATTGTTTTTTTAATTATGACAAGATAATTTGAAAATTAATAAATTATAGTATTAGTTACAATTAATTAAGGTTTTTAGTTGAGATGAAAAAAAGTTAATGGCACAAGCGGGATTCGAACCCACGATCTTCGGCTAGATACACCGCTGCTCTACCACTTGAGCTATCGTGACCTTGATCCACTCGGACATCAACTTCCTATCTCTTATCATCCACCTTATGAGTTTCCCTCCTTTTTGCCATTTTTCAAATGGGTTGAGATAGGAAGTTGATGTCCGAGTGGATCGAGGTCACGATAGCTCAAGTGGTAGAGCAGCGGCGTATCGAGCCGAAGATCGTGGGTTCGAATCCTGCTCGTGCCATTAACTTTTTTTCATCTCAACTAAAAACCTTAATTAATTGTAATGTATTAATTGGTCAAGCGGACCAAGAAATTAGTGAATATAGTATTAGTATTGGTAAATTATAGTATTATAATAATTGGGATTTGGACTCAGAACGTTAGCATGGTCGAGTTGCATGCTCAAACCACAAGGTCCCCAATTGCTACAGTATGCACTATAATTAATGATTTGGTTATGTGGAAGATGCTCATAATAAAGCATACCTTTCTAATCCCACCAAATGCACATAGTCTTGGAAAGTAATATGACTTTTGAGATTGTTAACATCGTCACTGCATTTTCTCCAGGTTTTTCCTGTATGAATGTTGTTGTAAAGCATCTTCTTTTCATCCATTATTATTATTTTTTTTTTTAAATGCATCGTTTACATTGTTTTAAGAGGGTATCGCAAACGGAAATGTGGTACAATAAATTATTCTGTAATGTGAGGAATCCAAATATCGCTCTGACAAATATATCTGCCTGTTCTCAGATGCATTGAAATAAGAGAGATAATTATTTCTGTGATATCTTGTGTTGTTTAGTGTGGGTTATTTGTGACGAAAACTCGAATTTGGTCATCAATAGTTGGACGTCCAGTTTGCTTTCTTCCAAATCAAAATATTCATTTTTGAACCGAGCGAACCATTTATGGAAGGTGCTTTCTCCTAAAGTGTCGTCACAACACACATCCAAATTTTCCTAGAGGTCTGAGTTGGGGTTTTCCTTTCAGTAATAAAAAAACATTACAGGTATGGGAGTATTAAAAAATATTAATTTTAAATTAACAAAACAATATGAGATCTCGGAAAAAGAAAAGGGATAAAATTAAATTATTGAAAAATGCTACAGCCTTATTTTATACTTAAATATGGAACTTCATGCAGGCTGTTGGGAGGACAAAAAATATGAATAACTCCATGACTATTGTTTAAATAATTATATTTACATCAATCCAACAATATATTCAAATATTTATATAATATATTCATCAACAATTGACAGGCTTTGACTAAACTAATGATATGAGACCTAGGATTGCTTTTCCGCTATCACTCAGGAAAACAAAATTTTATCCTATAAATATTATTATATATTTAAATCATATGTAAAATCATGTATCCAATTTGTGTTAAACAAAATAAAATAAATTCTTGGGAGCTTTCAAAATGAAAAATAAAGAAAAGAAAAACAAATCTATGTGAGTATAACAGAGAAGGAATCAAATTTGAATTTCCTTTTGCAATATATTTATTATTCTGCAGTATGCAATCAGACTTTGTTATTTAAAAAATAAAAATAATTTACGCCTCTTCTGTTGTTGTATTTGGAGTCTCAGTTGTTTGATTTGTATCGCCGGCGGCGTCGTTTTTCAATTGCTGCTGCCACATTTCCGAATATTTACCTCCCCTCGTGATCAAATCCTCATGCCTAGAAAATTAACGATTAGTGTGTAAAATAATGTTGATAAAAATTAAGAATTGACATACCGTCCTCTTTCAATGATTTCACCATCTTCCAACACTAAAATTTCATCTGCATGGATGATGGTCGAAAGCCGGTGGGCTACGATTATTGTTGTTCTGTTTGTACAGACTTGCGCGAGAGCGGACTAAAAAACAAAATAAAAATTGATTTTTTTATATTAGAATAAATATCTTTTTACTGAGAAAATTTACCTGGATGTTTCTTTCTGTCTGAGTGTCTAAGGCACTGGTAGCTTCATCAAGCAAGACGACAGTAGGTGCCTTCAGCAATGTCCTAGCGATAGCGACCCTCTGTTTTTCACCCCCACTCAACTTCAGACCTCTCTCACCGACCTGAATAAACAATAATTGGACTAAATGAAATATTTATTTTAATTTATTTGGGACAGAAATTGAAATTTGGTTTACCTGTGTGTCATAAGCTTCAGGGAAATTTAAAATTCGGTCATGTATATCTGCATTTTTTGCAGCATTGATGATATCTGCATCAGGGGCATTTATTCTGCCGTACTGAATATTGTACCTATAAATTTATTAAAAGATTAATATATTTTTCTACCTTATACAGTGATTTTCTTCTGTCTTACTTAATCGTATTATTAAATAATACAGTATCTTGTGGGACAACACCGATGGCTCGTCTCAGTGAATCCTGTTTAACAAATTTGATGTTTTGCCCGTCGATAAGTATCTCGCCATCTTTAACGTCAAAGAAACGGAACAACAAACGAATTATCGTGCTTTTCCCACTTCCCGATGGACCAACCTGGATAATTATGAAAACAATCGTGAATTATAACAAATTTATTTTCAAATTTTAAATTAATTCGTACAAGGGCGACGGTCTTCCCTGCTGGGACAAAGAATGAAATGTTGCTTAAAACAGTTCTATCGGGGTTGTACGAAAATGACACATTTTTGAATTCCACCGATCCTTCTGTAAGCGAGAGCGCGTGTGCTCCTGGTTCATCGCTGACTTCAGGTACTTCAGAAAGCAGATCAAACATGTTTTCCATGTCAACAAATGATTTCTGTATCGCTCTAAAAATTATAAAAGATTAATTTTTAAAAATGTTATTTGTATAAGTACAACGTACCTGTAATACGTCCCAAACCAATTGAGTGGGACGTACAACTGCAAGATGTAACCGGCAAACAGAACATAATCCCCGACATCCAAACCCTGATGCGTCGCGGCCAAATAAACGCAAAGCAAAGACCCTGCTAAAAGACCAGAGCATATCGTCACATTCTGAAGATTGTTCAGGAGGTTGAGCGAAACCATCGATTTCCATTCTTCAACCTTGAGTAACAAAAGTCAAACTATAATTGTTAAAACCGTTTTAAAAAGGAAAATATAAAAATATTAATAAATTAATTTTGGATATAAATATTACCTGGAACTTGTGAATACTTTCTCGGAAAGCGTCGACTTCATAACGTTCAGCACTGTAATATTTAACAGTCTCAAAATTAAGAAGAGAATCGACACTACGTGCCTTTGATGCATTGTCTGCAATATTCATCCTCCTTTGGAATTTAGTCCTCCATTCAGTTATACATATAGTTTCTACTGAAATATTAATACAGTTTTGTTTAGAGTCATATAAACAGAAATGAACGAATGGTCAATATTTTACTTACATATATACAAAAACATTGTTATGAAAACAATTAGACCGAAATAAGGGTTGAAGGCGACAACAAAATAGACAACAGCTACAATGATGTCGACTATCGTTGGTAAGATGTTGAAGAGTATGTAAGTAAGTAAATTGTTAATGGAATCTGTCCCTCTATCCATAATTCTGAGGACTTCTCCTGTTTTCCTTGAAAGGTGCCATCTCAAGCTAAGACCGTGTAGATGGTGAAGCAATTCAACCTCCACTTCCCTTGTTGTGTACTGCTGCACTCTTATCCAGAGAAAGGACCTCAAGTTGTTCAGGATGCCCATTCCTCCAGTTCCTCCGCCTTGGAGAAACTTGAAGCTCACGTAAATGATGACTAGATCCCATCTGAATAGCGAATCCGGCCCTTTTATACTATTCACTACAAAATTGACAATATAGTATGATAGAATATGCTACAAGTCGGCAATTTAATGAACTCACCGATATATTTGCTATACAGCGGGACGTACAAATTAATCACCCTCCCTGCAATAAGCAGTATGAAACAAAATATAACTCTGAGCTGGAGAAAGGAGTCTTTTTTCGGCCAAAGGAAAGGCGCTAAGATTTTGATTTTCTTCCATAAGTTGTACCAAGTCGAGTAGTTAGCGTTTCCTTCAAAGTTCTCGCCCTTAAAAGATAATTTCAGCGCTTTAAATTGTACTTCCCCCCGCTTTTTTAAACACCTGTCTGATTCATTAAAATAGATTTTCTCTTGTTTTATGCGATTTTCCATTAAATTTGTGTTTCATTGAAATGTATGATTTTTATGTCACGCCAAAAATGGTCAAAAGTTTTAATAATTGTGACTTATTAAGGATGAAAACAGGAAGGTTTCAGTGGATCAGCTATTCAAATAGCAATGAAACATCTGTTTTACCACCAATTAATAAAATTATACAATTTTAAATGATTATAAAAGAAAATACTTTTTTTTTTTAAATGAGGGTTCACAACAGCAGATATCACATGAACAACCCTCAGGGTGTCACGGTTTTTGGAAAAAAAACAAAAAAAAAAAAAAAACACCACACATTTGTAAATATGTCAGGTTCAAATGATCACCTTACAGTGATGAGCGCTGTGTCAACGCCTTAACCGCTGCAGCCACCGATGAAGCAATCATCTTTAATGGCTAACATAAAAACCGACTTGTTACTCATTACTGATTAGAATATACATGTACAGAGTTGACCTATCACCACCATCTATTCCATCTTTGTAATTTACAATAAATTACTGGCAGGCCAAGGATCACCCATTCGGTTGACCTCGGTCTTGTTCATCCAGGGGCTCTCAACAACTAGGCCATTTCAGCCCCCAACTTCATCAGTTCCTAAATCCGTTCACACTCTCAGTCACCTTTAAATACAATCTTACTTATTTACATACTATTCATTCAGTTAGGATGATGTAATGGTCTAGTCTGGATAATCTTCCATCCCCTTTACATTTATCACATACCTAACCTAATTGATGGTCCATGGGGTACTGAATATTCTGCCAATGGTCCCTTCATATTACATATTCAGACCAACACAATACATTCACTATCAACACATATCATTACTATATACATATCAACCCTGTTCCTTCAAGAATTAGAACAGAAGACTCTGCTGTGCTCAAGCACAATTCTCGTACCTATACGGAGCCAAAGAATTCACCCTTCAATTAGATGGGACACCTCAAGCTAGCTTTCTCTGCCAGGCACATATGTGGGTTTTGGCCGAAAAGTGAGTGACGGTGTGTCAACCTCATGTGGCCTATTCCTAATCGGGTGATGACCCTTCTTCTTCGAGTCAGGTCTTCTGAGGAACACTTATCGTCAGTGCTCTTGATACATGAGAGCTTCTACTGACCTGGCCCAAGTGACTTACTTTACTTAAAAAAGGTTTCTATTAGTTATAAAGTCTCTTATTTAATACATTTATTGCCATGGACAAGTCATGCAAATTAATAAAATAAAATAAATAGATTAATTAAAATTACTCAAAGACCTATCCATCTCTTCATTTCTATTACATATAAGTTTAAAAAAATTCTGAGTTTTCTTATAAATGATTACTTAACTTTAAACCACTATTTACGCTATACACTAATTCATTCTGGTGGTAAGGGTGTCAGGGTTCAGTTCTAAAGACAGTGGTTCCAATTATATTTGTGATATTGATCGTTCATCTCCAATTGATTAATATATATTTTTTAAATATATATAAAAAAGAAACCATAAAAGTAACCTAAAATAATATATTAAATAAAAATAAATATTATTTTTTTCTTCTTCCAAATACACATATGAAAAGTTGTCATGTTGTCAGCTTGTGTGTTTCAATTTTTAAAAGTTGTCAGAAGTGTTGTCAATTTATAAAGTGAACTATTTTGTAAACTTGCCCCTCTGGATTGTAATAAATCGTGCCTCTATGTTTTTTGTTGTGTATTGCAAAGATGCAGTGAAAATAGATTTTTTTTTCTATTTTTTATTGTGATATTTCAGTCAATCCATAATGCTTTGAATAGAAGAGGTGGTAGTCTGAAAGACAATGTGACAAATACAGAGAGAAAGCTTTCAGATCCCAAGATTTCTGGACAGTTTAACAACTTCATAGCGTATCACATCTTCAAAATTCCAAACAACCGAGAGTGTTTCATTTTTTTCTGGTTTTGATAACTGTCTATCCTGATGTGTTAGGTTTGCACAATTAATTCCATTGTTATCACAGTAACAGTTCTTTGAATGACATTTTTATTATTTGAATTTTGAAAGCAAAAGGAGGATGTAACCAGATCAAGCTTAGCGTACAGCAAGTTGAGCTTGTATGTTAATTATCTACGCCCTTTTCACCCTCCCTGACTTGTCTAATTCACACTTTGAGAGTTTTTGAACAGTTTTGTCATCAACCTCAAAAGCAATTTGTTTATATTTGCTATATCTTATAGTTAATTAGATCCTTTTTCAGTGAATAAACTCTATAAATGAAAATCTATCACAACTTTCAGTATTAATGCTAAAGTGCACATGCGCGTACGGGCGCAAGAGGGAGGGAGGGAGGGAGGGAGGGAGAGAGGNGAGAGAGAGAGAGAGAGAGAGAGAGAGAGAGAGAGAGAGAGAGAGAGAGAGAGAATCAAATTTTCAAAAGAAAAATCATACTTTTTTAAACAATTTTAGGTATATAAACCACATAGATGTTTCAATGAATTTTTAATCATTTTTCATTTAATCATCAAATACCGTAAAAAAAAATCGCCATTAAGAAGGATCGAAAATAAGAACCACTAGCACACTATAGAGAATCGGCCACTGAAATCCCCCTGTTTTTTCCCCTATTAAACCCAACTTGTTAAAATAGCAAGAGAAACATAATAATTTTTGTAATAACTTACCATAGAGTCAAACATGGGTGTCTCAATGTTAACATATTCCCGGGAAGATAAGATGCCAGGTGCCCTGAAACCGAGGGCAAAGACAAAAAGGCTCAGGATGTACTTTGTAACAAAAATCGCCAACTGTACTTTCTCTTTCCAACTGAAAATAAACAATAAGAAACCATAAATAATCTGTATTTTAACAGAAATTTAATTGCAGCATGGTTGTATTTGTCTGTCTATTTTTCTCTCTGGTTAATTGGACATGTTCCCACGTTTTATGTTTTTCCTTATGCAAATGTCTTTAAGCTTAAATTACATTCAATTATCATAATATATCAGGATTCCAGATATATATATTTTTTTTAATTATATGATACATTCATTTACAACTACAAAAATATTTTAACTTTTTGTGACAGAACTGAACAGTATTATTACATATAATTTTTTCATCTCCAGGTATACCCACTTTAAAAATATGTTTATCGCAAAAATTAAACAAAATCTTCATTAGTCGACAATTGACTATTTCACAAATGCGATAAAACAAAATATTAAAAGGTAATTTTCAAAATTAGATTAAAATTTTTTGATAGTCCTACAAAACTGTTCTATTTTTAAACATTTACGATGTGATAGATTTATGATGCTGCTAATTTAAATATCCAGTTATCACTGGAAAACAAACATCGACAATTTATCAGAATTATAAATAATCTGTCTTTCCTACGAATATAAGCGCAGAATCTGCCAAATGATTCAATGCAAAAATACAATTTTGACTTAAAGAAGACCAGTTAAATCATTTGACAAGTGGCCCATCTATGAAGGAATTTTTTAAAATCACTCAACTTGTTGCCCTTTGAGTGTTCAATTTCATCCTTTCCAAAGTCAAATTATTGAGTGAGTTAATTTTTTTAAACAATTGTTTTCTTTGATAATAAATTTGAGTAAACTATTATTAATTTTTACTCCTTAAAATCGTGGTTTTAAGGCAAGAAGATCTTGCCTGGGCTTGATGTTTTGACCAATGATGGAAGTAACATCTGTTACATAGCCCCAAATCCTGGTTATTCCACACTACTATGCACAATGGTCTACAACAGTTTAGGGCCACCATACGTCTCAATTAAAGAGAAGGTAATAGTTGACTACAAAGTATGACAGCTAGAGATGTCATTTTATTACTCTTACCCCACTACAGAACCCACATTTAACAGCTTCCTTGATAGATAGCCAACTCCAAATGGTCTGTAAAGTAAGGGTGAGCTCTAAAATCGCCTTCTGGCTTCGTGAGAATAGCCTAGCCTCTAGACGTCCCACATCAGGTTCTACTACTTGGGGAGGGATTGAATATGTGATGATATTTGCAACATCTCGCTTGGCCACTTGAACAATGGGGGGGGGGCTCTTTATAGATGAGCACTGGTTTGGTTTGTGGCAATCAGAGAGAACATGTGTGGAGTAGACGATGAGAATGCTTTGCTTGATGTGTTGTGCATAAGTCACAGCCTTTTCAAAGACAGTCAGTATGGGGTGGAATCAAGTCCATGCTTAAATTAATTATCATACAGGATCTTTGACTAAAGTACATATGATTTCCATTTGGGGTTGCAATGTCATCTCACACAATGAGGTTCTTTAACGTGCGCGCCAGGCACATGGCCTTATCACATGTTTAGATTCTCAAGATAGGACTGACACACCTCTGCTCACAAGTGGTCCATGTTAATCCTATGAGGTTTGGTGTAAAAGCCACTTGTTTTTGGCTAAAGTACGGCTTAAAGTACAGCGAGAAAATTCTTTTGGGTGTTGTGGTCCTATTCAGTCCATTCATTGGGAACAACTAAGTTTTATTAAATGATAATGGTCAACTGCATGTAGCTCGAGTTGTCAGTGATTATCAAAATGAATTGGCCACCAAGTTCTCCTGACATGAATCCCATAGAACACTTACGGGACGTGATAAAATGATAAAAAGAAGGATGGAATCCATCATTCATTGTTCGCCACCTCCAAGCGTAGAACAATGTTAGTTAAATTTTAATCTATCTCTAAATGCTTTTCTGGAGATAGCAATTCTTTCTGTGAATTTTCTTTCAAACCATGAGAGGCCAGCTCCTATATAATCTGTTATTAATATAATGACAAAAATACGTATAGTTTGAAATAAACTTTTTTTTTTCTCTCTTTGAGTATAGTTTAAATTATGTACTTTATGTAATGTTTTTAATATTCTGTACAAAAGTTATTAGGGCAATTTTCATTTTCGTTGAAATCCGTTTTATTATTAATGAACATTAAAAAAAAATTAGTCTACTGCTTTTATCATAATAAACCAAAAAAGTTTCTGTTTTCAGCAAATTACAGAAAACTTGATCTAGAGCCCTTTCTAGTCGTTTTATTAGTACAATAAATGGCAAACAATCATGGACGTACATTCTGATTACAAAGTAAAGCCTTCTGGGCGTCAGCACAGTCATACAATAATACAATGATAGATAAAGTCATGACTCATGATAAAATATACAGACTAGATTGTACAACTTTGGTTTTGTTGACTGACTCACCAATTAAAAACCACTTACGATTCTAAATGTGTCCACCAGTCTTGCCGATGGATGTTGATAAAAAGGATGTTGACTGATATAAACATCAGCGTCCAAAACACAAGTAAAATGAGGCCATGTCCCCTCGTAGGGACCGATGGAAGAAGATAATTCCTCTCGAAAAATATAAGAAGAATCGAAAACGGGTAGATGAAAACCTGTATAAAAACAGCTAGGATCTGTAACAGAAAAGAAAGAGAAAAATTAAAAATTAAAAAAAAAAAAAAAGTGGAGTAGATAGAAGAAAACCAAATACACAAAAATAAATTAATGGATTTTTTTTCGGGGGGGTTTGGGGAGTCCCCATTACCCAGGATTAAAATAAAATATATAAAAACTAAAGTAAAAATAATAATAAAAAAATTAATAATAATAAAAAACTAACTGAAATAAAAATTCCACCTGTTAAAATATTACTACATTCCTTTATATGAAGATTATTTTGGTTCGTATTTCTAGCCATAAAATAATGGAATAAAATGGGAACAAATAAGTGACAGAAAAAAAAGGCAAAAAGTATAATTAATTTTGGAAAATATTGTGCTGATGCAAGGTGATAATTCTGTAGCACTGTCATCTCTGATCATTCTTGTCTGCTCATTCATGTAGATTTTGTGGGCCAAACATACTTCCACATCTTCTGTGGCCGGTTTATGTGTTATTTTGTCAATCGCACAGTCACAAGAGAAAACCACACAGATGAACCGTTGAAGAGAGCGAAAACCAAAATAGTGAGATAAGCGATCAATTATGTTCAAATATTTTCTCCAAATCTGTTTTAATATTAAAAACAAAATATATAATTATTTAAAAAAAAAAAATAAACCTCTAAATTAATAGCAATTTATTATATACATTTTCTTCCTTTAAATTATTTGAACAGAACATTATAATGTCTGGATGTTCAAGGACAATCAACAATCAGTAAGAAAATAAATATTTGTTGCACTCCTTATTGACTTGGTGATAACCAGGATCACGCTAAATTCAAGAAATAGTTTAAGTCTGGAGCATTCGACGGTTTAAACATTGTTTCCGCAAGTTTCAAGAAAAAAGTTCAAACTGAAGGAATAAAATTGGTTAGAGTTAACATAAGTATTAAAAACCAGCCCTGTTAACAATTTCAGATCAGCAGATGGGTTGAGCCATAAAAACCATCTACCAAGATTAATTAACTCGAAGTGCCTGTGCTTTTGAAAAAAAAAAAAAAAAATATGTTCGAATGCAGGACTGCTGGATTTGAACCCAGGTCTTTTACTTCACAGTGGTGAGTGCTATGTCAATGCCTAAACCGTTGGGGCCATAGACACGCATAATTAATTAGTAGTTACACAACAAGCAATAATAAATAAAACTGTTGTTATTTGACTATAAGAGAATTTGTAAAACAGAATCAAAATTTGGTTTTGAGTTGTTGAAATTTAACAAATTGAGAAGAAAACTAGATGAACAGTCAAACACATCTAGAGCGAGCAAGCAAGCAAAAAATAAAAAAAAGGTAAGGTAGAACAGATGTACAAAGATAACATCTTTAAGCATTAATTATCACAGTTGCATATATTAAATTTTAATCAACCGAATCATCGGATAAGAGATAAAATGTAAAAAAAAAAAAAAAATTGTTTAGCTGTAAAGGCTCTTCAATTAAATTAAATTCGCAATTACGCATGGAAAAATTCAATGTAAAAAAAATTGTAAGATGATGTTTTGGTATGTAATGTTGAATATAAATTCAGGAAATGGATGTATGAACATAAAAATTGGTGACAGGGTATGGAAATTTTTGAATATTGAATGAACAATACCAGTAAATAACTCAAGCTGTACAAAATTAATTACATCAAATAGTGAATCACGATTTCTGAATAATTAACTAAATCCAAATTAACCATGGAAAAATTCTATGATAAAAAAGTCATAAGGAGATGGAAAATTTTGGTATGTGATGTGCAGTATTTATAAATTATAAAACTGACGTTTAAAACTTAATTTCAAAACAATAACAAAAATGTATCAACCCATAGTGGAAAAAATTGGTGAATAAGTATGAGGTGTCAGCTCATAAACACATTAACACAGATTAACGTAATCACATCTGAAATATGAGAAATAACTGAATTGAAAGAAAATAAGAAAAACACTTGTCAAACCAAAGGAAAAAATGGTGACAGGGATGTCAAATGTACAAAGATGACATCCCAAGTAAATGAGCTGCACTGTAAAAACAAGTATAAAAAAATGATTTAACTCATAATCACATCTGACATATGAAAAATAACTGAACTGAAAGAAAATAAGAACAGACTTGTCAAATCAAAGGAAAAATTGGTGACAGGGATGTCAAGTGTACAAAGATGACATCCCAAGAAAATGCGCTGCACTGTAAAAACAAGACTAAAAAAATGATTTAACTCATAATCACATCTGACATATGAAAAATAACTGAACTGAAAGACAATAAGAAAAACTTGTCAGACCAAAGGAAAAAATGGTGACAGGGATGTCAAGTGTACAAAGATGACACAACGAAATTTTAATTTATCTGATAAACTGTCAGATTATAAGTAAAATGCAAGTTTATTATTTTGAACAAATAGTTCGTTTGGACAGGGCAATGATAAACTAGTACAATAGGAATAAAATTTGATCATAATCACATCTGACATACGAAAAATTACTGAACTGAAAGAAAATAAGAACAGACTTGTCAAATCAAAGGAAAAATTGGTGACAGGGATGTCAAGTGTACAAAGATGACATCCCAAGAAAATGAGCTGCACTGTAAAAAACAAATCTAAAAAAAATATTTAACTCATAATCATATCTGACACATGAAAAATAACTGAACTGAAAGACAATAAGAAAAACTTGTCAAGCCAAAGGAAAAAATTGATGATAGGGATGTCATAAGTGATCAAAGATGACACGATTTAATTTTAATTAATCTGACAAACTGTTGGATTATAGTGAAAATGCATTAGTAAAAGTTCACCATTTGCTATAAATAGTTGGCTTGGACAAGATAATGAAAAACTTGTGAAACCATCAGAATAAAATTTGTTGAAAGGATTAGATAAGATTGCAAAGATGACAACCCCAATTATATTGCAGAACAGTATAAAACTTGTTAATAAAAGGAATAAAATTTGTCAACAGGATATAAATGTACAAAGATGACAGTTCCACTAAATAACCAGAGCCATAAAAGCTATCATAAAAAATTAATTAAACTGTTAATTATGAAAAATGGAATGATAAGAAAATTTGTAAGGTGGTAGAAAAATTGGTTCTGAGACTGATTACTGATAAATTTTGAAAATGACTGCATGGAAAATAAAAAACGTAAAATGTACTTCGTACAGTTGGATTGTAAGTTGGAAGGTACCTCAAACCCGTAGATGACACCTCGGTTGAGCACGACGACCTGGAAGGCGAGGGTGAAGACAGGCAGGATCCCGAGTAAAGCGGTGAACAGAAGCTGGAGGATGTACAAGTTGGACGTCGGGATGGAGTGGCTGTTGATCGTGGTGCCGTACTTTTTGTACATCCAGAGCTGTGCGCTCCCGAAAATGAGCAAGTACAAGCCGAGTACCAAGTTTGAAACTGTGTTCATGAAGCAGTCGGACACCCCGTGGTCCACCCATACTTCCCAAATGGAGACGTTCTCCCTGCAGAAGTGCATGTTCAGTCGGTTGACAGCATGTACGAATTACGATACGCCCGTCTCACAAATAGCGATGTCACCCTGAATCGGCGCAAAACAATAACCAACACTCGCCCTATCCAAAATCTCAGACCATTTTACGAAAGTTTAATTTTAATCAGGATTTTACGAAAAAGTCAACGACTAAATCCACCGATTCATCGGGAGGAGAGAGTAAAACGCCGATTGGAAACGATTAAAAGTTTGGACCCTCTCAGTAACCTGCGATCGTTGCTGAATGATGATAAACTGAAAACGCGACGATTTCGACTGATGACAACCTCATCGATTATTCCTTATCTCTCCTACAACTTCTTCTTCGCTGTTTACCTTAAAAGATGTTACAACTTTTGGAGTAAATTTTCCCTCCCCCGGCTTTTTTTAAAATAAAAACTTAGCGTTTAATTGGTAAAGCTAAAATCATAAAGAATCACAATAAATCAAATTAATCATCAATAATCGATCTTCACCGGCCAGTAAATCTCGTTAGGCCTACTTTTGCCTCCAAAAGTTCTATTTAAAACGATTATCAAATATCACCAGACCCCCTTCACTCCATAAAAAAAGGAATTCGGCTTTTTGATTAATCGCCTTCTCCCGAAATTACGAATTCATGTGCAATAACTGTCAGATTGGATTCTGTCAGTCTCGCTGATTGCTATGTTATCAGGCTCAATTTCCCTCATATGGGAAGATCCAAAAAATCCAAACGTGAAAAAGTTAACACTGACAAAAAGATTCAGTTACCCTCTATCTATAAGTTAGCCTAATTTCGAGAACAAATTATTTTCAAACTAACAAAAAATTAAATTTTACAAGAAAAATAATTATAACAACTCACTGGCCATTGTTGTATTCAACTAGTTTCAATTTACTTCTTGAATACATTTTTAACAAAATCCTAATACTACAAAAAATTCCACACAACAACACTACAGGTATACAGTTCTTAACTGATGATGGTGCAATGCCGAAACAAATTTGAGTAGTTTAACAAACCCATGAGTGAAGACGGACCCAATGCCGGTTCAGCATGTGATTTATAGACCAACATCCGACATCAACTTATATACTACAAGTGTCAACCATATAATTTTTGGCACGGAAGATCCAAACAACAAATCATTAAAAATGTGCTAACGTCATCTAAAATATCAAACAAAACCCTTAAAACTGTTTACGATAGAATACAGCGTCTTGATTACACGAACTTTTGCCTTTTCTAGGCATTTTTAGAATTGTTTTTACACCTCAGAACATTTTCTGGGTTGTCATCTTTGTAGACTGACCATATCCTTTCACCAAATTTCATTCCTTTCGTCCTACAAGTTTTTTATTATCTTGTTCAAATCAATGATTTTTACAAATTAATGAATTTTTATTATTGGATTTTACCTGTAATACACTTAGTTTGCCAGATGAACTAAATTAAATGTTATTATCTTTGAACTCTTGCAATAATGTGTCACCACTTTGGTTTGACAAGTTTTTTCTTATTGTCTTTCAGTTCAGTTATTTTTCGTATTTCAGATGTGATTATGAGTTAAATAAATTTTTGGTTTGTTTTTACAGGACAGCGCATTTTCTCAGGTCATTTTTGCACTCTTATCCCATCCTTTCAGCAAATTTATTCCTTTGGTACTACAAGTTTTTCATTGCCTTGTCCAAGCTATATATTTGTAACCAATTAATAAACTTTTATTATTGGATTTTACCTATAATACAACAGTTTTTCAGATTAATTAAAATTCAATGGTATCACCTTTGTTCACTTATGATATCTCTGTCACCAATTTTTTCCTTGTGTTAGACAAGTTTTTCTTATTGTCTTTCAATTCAGTTATTTTTCATATTTCAGATGTGGTTATGAGTTAAATAAATTTTTGGTTTGTTTTTACAGGACAGCGCATTTTCTCAGGTCATTTTTGCACTCTTATCCCATCCTTTCAGCAAATTTATTCCTTTGGTACTACAAGTGTTTCGTTGGCTTGTCCACGAATTAAAATTCAATGGTATCACCTTTGTACACTTATGATATCTCTGCCATCAATTTTTTCCTTGTGTTAGACATGTTTTTCTTATTGTCTTTCAATTCAGTTATTTTTCGTATTTCAGATGTGATTGTGAGTTAAATAATTTTTTTTAGGTTTGTTTTTACAGGACAGCGCATTTTCTCAGGTTGTCATTGGTGCACTCTTATCCCATCCTTTCAGCAAATTTTATTCCTTTGGTACTACAAGTTTTTCATTGCCTTGTCCAAGCTATCTATTTGTAACCAATTAATAAACTTTTATTTTTTCTAATTATATTTCTCAATTTTATCTATAATATGTTAGTTTCCCAGATTAAATGTTAATCAAAAAATAACATTAAATGATATTATTTTTGAACATTTGCAGTTTAGTGTCATCATTTTTTCCTTTGGTTAGACCAGTTTTTCTTATTGTCTTTCAATTCAGTTATTTTTAGCGATATTTCAGATGTGATTATAGCTAATTTTATTCCTTTTGTACTTGTTTTTCATTGCTTTGTCCAAGCCAACTATTTCTACCAAATAATGAACTTTTATTATTGCATGTTACTTATTATCCAAAGTTTTTCAGATCAATTAAAATTCCATTGTGTCATCTTTGCCCACTTATGACATCCCTGTCAGCATTTTTCCTTTGGTTCGGCAAGTTTTTTCTTATTGTCTTTCAATTCAGCTATTCTTCAAATTTCAGATGCGATTGTGAGTCAAATAAGTTTTTACAAACCTAACAGCCAGTTTTTTTACTTTGGCTTCACATGTTTTTTCATTGTCTTGTAATACAGTTATTTTTCTATTTTCAGGTGAGATTGTTGAGTAAGATTTGCTCTTTCTCTCATTGCTACCATAAAGCTTTCTTTCAAATGGGAGACTTTTACCACAAGGAGCAAGCTAAAAAATAATTTTATCCAATTTTGGTACTGAAAAAATAAAAATAAAAATTTTCCAAGCTCCCAAATCCACAAGGCGAATTTTTTTCTCACCGATGTTCAAAAATATACCAGGAAAATATCATAAACAATAATACTTTCGGCCTAGAGGATCAAAATGTCAAATCATTTGATTAAAAATGCAGCTATTATCATAAAAAAGTACCATCAAACTAAAAGACCAATGAAAACCTTAAAAACGTCTTCACCTTGCGATTTTTTGTGTTCTATCAAAAAAATATGCATGAATACAAAAAGTTGTCAACTACATGATGTTGTTACCTTGAAGATTCAAACAACAAATCACTTTTTCACCAAATTCTATTATTGACCAAAAAAGCTTAAGGATATAAGGACCAAAAAGCTGTCCTTCCAATTGAACTCTTACTCCAAGAAGCAATTGAAAAAATATGTTTATCCATGCTTCTGCAAAAGAAAATTCCAAGGCTACTAAATTCATAAGGCAAATCAGTTTCTACTGATGTTCAAAAAAAAGACCACCATAAAAATTTTACTTATCAAATTGTGCTATTGAAAAAAAAAAAAAATCCAAGACTGCCATTCATTTATGAATTCACCTAGATTTATGCATCAATTGTAAAGTGCTTTTGTAGATCCATATGAAAAATTGGTTTCTCACCCTAAAAAGCTTTTGTTCAGACAAAGTACATCTATCATAAAAGTTGTATATATTTTGTCTAAAAGATACAAATGTCAAACCAATTGTTTAACCAAGTATTGTCAACAAAAGAGTATGTTGATAAGGTATGTTCATAATGTAACTTTCAGACTTGAAAATGCGCAAATGAATTTTCTTAACCAATTCTGTTATTGTAGAAATAACCGTCTGCCAGATGCGTTTCAGCAATATGTCATCTTCTTTTTATAAAAGAGGTCTTGACTTCAGAAAAATACCCTCCAATGAAGATGGCAAAATATCGAAAGCGTCCGACAGACCAACACAGTGAAGATAGGCGGACAACGATGATCAGCATGATCAAATTATAGGTTCAACACCCACAGAGAAATCTCACTTTTTTCTTCCATAAATGTCTTCATCCACTCAAAATCCCTCTTTGAAAATTGTTGTAAACCAATATTTATTATGAGATCTTTTTAGTTTTTTTTTTCAGAAACACAACCATTTCAAAATATCCTTTTATTATATCAATAGCAATACTTTTATTCTATTACAGCTAACAACGAAGAAGAATGAAGAAAATAATAAATATTTATTATTACCAAATTTTAATTATAAATATTTTGATGTCAAGATTAGTTTGGTGTGTAATTTTCGTAATTGTTATATATATTTGGTTTGAAGTGAGTTTGTCAAATTGCTTAATACTTAAAAACACGATTTTAGTGTCCAAAATCTTGCAATTTCATGCCTTATTTATTATTAAGATAAAAATTATAATAAATACACACACCAGCTAACTTCTCTCACTCATTATATATTTTATTTTTGGTAAAAAAAAGTTATCAAGGTGTTTTGATTAATTGCCAATTTTACAATGTTGATTATATGATGAATCAATTTTAGAAAAGGACTGGCGTTTAAAAGAACACAAAAAAATGTCGACAAAAGTATACACCCTTTCAATCATGACAACAATACTCAATATTTTCCACATAAAATAAAAAGTAAAATCTGAATTTTTTGGATAATTAAAATGAATCTAAGAATGTTTGATTCCAGATGGCTTTGGCATTTAGTACATACTCAATGATTCATCTGGGCCCCATTCAAACGCAGGATTTTGAACAGGAAACTTCTGAAATTTACAGAGGTAAGCCGGTGGTAATTATCTGGCTATTTCCATTTTTTGAAAAAAAAAAAAAAGTTTAAATATTGACATGTATTGTGTATAATTTAATACTTTAATACTCACACTAAGTAAAAGTGACATAAAAAATTTTTTTACATAATATAATTAATTAAATAAATTTGTAATTGAACATATTTTACAAGAAAACATTACAGATTATAGGTAAATTTTTAACAGTTATAAACATAACTATCAAAAATTTACCTTCTGTAATGACTTTTATTTTTTCATTTATACTTTTTTAACTTTTATAAAATATTTAACATACAGATACAGAAATGCTGCCACTTGCAAGAAAATATAAAATGATTCACCAAAAATGAGTGGAAGCTGTTTTGTTTCAGCTAAATAATCATTTAATTTCTAAATGGTATTTTTGTTTTCACATAAAGTGCTGGTTCTGTTTTATATTTAAATTTTTAACTTCAAAACATGGACAAATGTTGTGCTTAAATTGATAATTTAATGTGGTTTTTAATGTGGAATGATTTGTAAATATGTAAAAAGTCGAAAATAGTGGTTGACTTGTAGAGAGTTGATTATTTGATAAATTGAGAATTACTGATCAATTGCTATTCTTTTTTGAAACTGTTGACAAGGGAAAATAATTAGTATTTTGCATTTCAGAAACTTCATTAATTATTAATTCTTCAAGACAAAATCATTATAACTTAATTATCAAATCGACAAGAAGCATGCCCCATGGTGAAGCAAATATCAAAAAATAAATAATTTTGTGTATATCTTGCACATTTTAAAGCTAACAGTATCAATAACAGGATCTGAAATAATCATATCAACTGAAATCATATTATGAAATCATTGGAATTTTATCAGATCAGGACTTAAATATGAAAGAAAACATTGTGCATTTTTCAATGTAAAAGTAGATGTTCTGGCTAACTCTAAATTAAAAATTAAAACTTAATAAAAGGTACTATTTTTATTAAGTTTTTCTTAGACAAAATATTAGTTTGAAGTGCACAGGCATAATAAATTGAAATAAAAGATTAGGTTTTAGATTTAGATGAAAAAATTTAAATTCAAAAAGTCATGTAATCAATGAAACATTGTCTCTGTGTATAATTCATGTTCAACATGTGCGGTGTTCTTATTATTTATTATGAAATTAATTTATATTAATTTTTTTTTTGTAGAAATATGAATAACCCAAATGGCTCGAACTCTGATCTAGGGCTGCCTTCGTAAGTTTTTCTCGTCTATATTAAAATCTATTACTTTTTTAAATTGTTTTTACGATAAAGTTGGCGCTCAGGCTATGTATGGGAATCTATTTGGTCAAGCTACAACTGGTAAATAATTTTTCAAAATTCATTAATCATAATATATTTAAAAAAATTAAAAATGCAGGAACTCCCAAGATATGAATTACGCTCTTCCTGACTCTTCTTCAAATCCGAGTATTTTGAATCAACTGTAAGATAGCATTGATTATTAAAAATGAATTATTTTTAATTTAATTAAGGCTGATTGTCATAAATCTTTTAGTGAAATGACGATATTTGGCTCTGACTCTTCAGTGAAGTAAGGATTCACTTTAAAATTTTTTCGATATGCAAAATTTTACATTTGATTTGTTTTCATAGCACCGTAAGTGACACTACAAATACAAATACTCGTGTGCAAATAATAAGGTAATTTTATTTATTACTAATAAATTATATGTTATATGAATTATATAAATTATATGAGGGTATTTAACCCTTGGCATACTAAAAAACTCCCAACCATGTCAATGCTATTGCCGCCACTAACACCCCTAAAATTAGATGTTTAAATTCATAACATTAAACTAGTTAAATTAAATTTATCAATATTTTATTAAAATATTTTTACCCCCTAGTTATTATTATTAAATAAAATAATTGGTTAAAAGATTCATAAAATTCAAAATAGTGAAGTAGGATTTAGGTTTACAAGGAAAATTATCATAATGAATTTTATTTGTAGATATTTTTTAATGTTCGCTTTTTATTAAATTTGTACACAGAGAACCATCAGCATATACTGTGCAAAACAGGACAGAAGAATTTAATAGGTGAGAGTTTTTCAAACATTGTTTTTATTCAACAACGTGCTGAAAATTTAAAATTTGGTGTGCAATTTATTTGTACTTTGGTTGTTTTATAGTCAACTGTTACAAGAATTAAATTCACTAATTTCATGGTTCGCTTGACCAATTAATACATTACAATTAATTAAGGTTTTTAGATGTGATGAAAAAAGTTAATGGCACGAGCGGGATTCAAACCCACGATCTTCGGCTAGATACGCCGCTGCTCTACCACTTGAGCTGTCGTGACCTCGATCCACTCGGACATCAACTTCCTATCTCAAGTGGTAGAGCAGCGGCGTATCTAGCCGAAGATCGTGGGTTTGAATCCCGCTCGTGCCATTAACTTTTTTCATCTCAACTAAAAACCTTAATTAATTGTAATGTATTACAAGAATTTTAATTAACCTTATAGCAAGGTCTGATTCCATGATGATATGAAACTTCTGTAAATTATTTTCAGAGTATGAGGGTTTTCTTTCACCAGATCCATTTTATGTTAAAACACAATTTATGTTCGGAAAATTTTTTAATACTTACTACTCTTTACATGAAAACGCTTAAAATTTGGTGGCACAGTTTAAAGAAAAAAATCTTTAACAAGTTGAATTCAATCAGAACATATTTTTTACAGGTCAGATCTACCTCATACATCAGTAAAGTGAGTATATTTATTTGAAATTTTAAATTCATCCTGTTTAACTGAATATTTTTATCAGTGCGATTAGTGGAGAAGACGAGGAAAACATCTGCCAGTATGTTCACTTTGGAACTGAAAGGTAAGAAATTCTTTAATAATCAATAAGAAATAAATTTCTTATATTTTCCAGGGAGTTAAGTAGAATTGCAGAACAAGAATACAATAGGTATGATTTTATTCAAAATAGTAACAAGATTTATATATACTTAGAGAAAAACGTATAATTAAAAAAAAACACTTGTGATTATAAACAATATTGTTGTTGTAGAAAACAGATGAATATATTATATGACAGGCCTCAAATATCACAGTAAGTATTATTTAAATAAATTTCACAAATTAGGAAGTTCAAATACGAATAGATTATTTATAACATTTGAAAATGAAATTCCAGAAAATTATCATTTTTATTTTATTACCGCTCAAAAAATCATTGAAAATTATTTAAAATATATATTTTTTGCAGTAAAAAGATTAATAAAGGTAAAAGATTTCGTGTGCCAAAGTATCTTAGATTGATCAACTCCACTTTCTCTGACTGCATGATTAAAACATATCAATGTAGATTCTGCAAAGAAGTTTTCGATACGTTTCGTCTTGCATCTGGTCACACTTGTTTTAGACGGCGAGCTGGAAGGCATGGAAATAGTAATGGTATAAATAAATAATGGAAATTCCATTTACAAATAAATATGTTAACAAAAATCTCATTTGTAACTGGTTACTTTACTTTTTTATTAAAAAAAATTATATAAAAAATGTTTACTTTTAATTACCCTATCCAGTAACCATATGGTCAATGCAAATAGAGAAATAGGTAAAACAAAACAAAAAAAACCCAACCAGCTTCAGTCAAAATCAAAATGTATAGGGAAGGCAAGTCCATAACAAAGCAACAAGTGCAAAAAAGGAACAGTTTCGAAGAGAAGAAATTTTGGGACACCCTACGTATAATTCATTTCGAAGAAAAAGCTTTTGAAAAAAGCCATGCCTTTAAAGTCAACAAGCACAATTCGCTCATGGGGATCACGGAAGAAAGCCCTGTGGGTATATCTGAGTAAAGATAAAACTTTAAAGCAGAAGAAGACCTAAAATTAGGCAGAGTTCGGTTTCTTTAAACTTTGGTCTTAGTACATGATATTGAATTTTATCGAGAGACGGGCTGCTTGCTGATGAACCTGGATAATTTATGATGATTCTCGCTGGTTTTGTCTTCCATTATGACATTTTTCAGAGATGGTCTGTGTTGCTTACACATCCCTTTTACATTTTATGAAACTATAAAATAATAAAAAATAATGCTTCAACTTGCTTACATCCTTGACCAACCACTGATGATGGAGAAATACTAAAACCACAGTCAAAACCAGGGAGAATTGACAGACCATGGATAATAATTGATGATATACAACAAATATTAGTAGTAATTAAAATGTTTTATACACATATAGTGATCAACGATCGTACTGAGTATATCAAAGTTAAGGCAATGAACTATTTTTATTGCATTTTTTTTTTTTAAGAATTTGTATATCGTATATACGTTGTTTTCATAGTATTGAAATTTTTTAAAATTAAATTCTGCAGGAATCATCAACTCCATACAACGAATTGTATAACAAAAGCAGCGATTATGACGAAATGGATAATAATGCTAAAATGGAGGAGGTATCAATTATAGTCAGTAAATTATTTATTCTTCAATCTTTAATATATTTTTTAACATATTTCAGAGCATAAAACAGCTTTTACTCACGAATGGGGAAGTCGATATTGAAAAAGTGCTCTGCCTCCATCTTCTTGCTATAAAGCAATCCGATTGTTGCACAGCTAGGTAACCGGTGAAAAACTAATGTAATTTTAACTAAGTATTTTATTAGAATATTAAAAAAAGTCAAGTGTGATAATGAGCAATCAAACAATTTGTTAAAAAAAAAAAAATGTTTTGATGGGATATTTACAACTTTTTGGCTCAAAATACATTATTCATAAGTAATAACTAATAATTTGAAAGCGGTTTTAAATCATAAACTTAATTTTTAGGGATGATACACCTAGGCCAATTAATGTGTTTACAAGATATTCAAATCTCCTACCAAATTATATAATAGAATCGGGAGATTCAAAAATTAAATGCTGCTGCTGGAAGCGGAAGAGCCAGAAGATGAAATGTGATTTTAGACCGATTAAGATTCATTTAACGATAAATAAGCAAATTGAGAAAATAATCAACATAGTTATAATAACGCTGAAGGAATTGAATGAAAAAAAGTTGAAACTTTTGATCTCGATGGCGCATAACATAAACGTTCTGCGGACAATATTGGTGAGGCCAGCAAATCAAAACTATTTGACAGAACTTTTGAAATCAAAATTAGTATTAAATAACAGCGAATCTGAGACAGAATGCTGTACGTTGATGAAAGGAAGCAACGAGATGATAAGAGATGTAAATAAATACAAGAAGAATATGGTTTTTCGATTAAATCCGCCTAACTCCTTAGTCTACCTCCGCGCACTTCTTGCAGACATGGATAAGTATACGTCTTGCCCAGAGATACAGAAGAAAGATTCATTTTGTTCGTTGGTTGATATCTGCAAGAAAATTTCCGTCGGTGAAGATGTCAATTTGGCCGGTTTTTCAATTTTACGAAATACATCTATCAATTCATCCGGGACTGCTGTTATAAGTGAAGATGGAAAAGATATCACATACATAGCTGGGCCGAGCTGCAAAAAAACAAGAGCGCCTGACTTTTTCGAGAACAATTTAACTCTTCTCCTCAAATCAACAGGTCTCATGGATAAAAAGACGGAGGAAGTGAAACCTGTAATAAGAGAAGAAAAGTTTATGCGATTTTATCATAAAATGTCGGATAGAACGATCGCTTCGCTTGAAAAAATTACAAAAGAGAGGATTAATACGTTAAAGTCACATATGAATAAAACAAAGGACAAGAAAGAGCCGCCAGACCCTGAAATGCTAAGATCAAATATTTTAAAGAGATTGAGCAACCAGCAGAGAATTTTGCTGGCTCAAGAATCATCACGCGTCAAAGGGGAAAAAAACGAATCTGAACATAATGCAAATGTTGCACCTCTAGCGCATATTATGAGCAACGTTATGTCTAAAAGGTCTCTGCTCAACTTGGCAAGAAACAGTACCCAAGAAGAACGCGAATATTTTTTAAAACCTGTAAAGAAAGGCGGCCTCGGCCTAGGGGAAATAATAATAGGCAAAGAGAATATGTCAAAAATGGAAAAGATTGCTGCGATTGCACAAGGGGAGACCTTAATTACGATGATAACACCTTTAAGTGAGCAGGTCGCTCCAGCACCAGAAAGGAAATCAATAATTGATGTCTCGACAGATAGCTCTTGGGATCTCCTCAAAATCAAACACGACATTTCCCAGGCAGAAATAACAAAGAAATTTACAAAATTTGTCAAATCTAATTCAGAGTCACACTCTAGTAATCATCATGAAGATATCAAATATGATGTAAACAACATAGATCAACAGTCAAAGCAACTAAGCCCTAACTTAACCATCGTCGAAACAAAACTCCAAGGAAGAATCCCACTGAGGAAACAGTTGGAAAAGAAAACTATAGTACAAAATGAAGAGAAAAGTTTAGCAAAATCATTACCAAAGCAATTATATTCCATAAAGCAAAAAAATAAATGACCAATTAGATTTGTTATTTCTTACATTTTAGTTCTCAACATCGAAGATCAAACTTGGTCAAAGGTATGGACAAAGTTGAAATATTTTTTATAATAAACTCGATGCAAAAATTTGAAGCTAGGTTAACTAAATTTAACTTATCATTGATCTGGAATTTGTGGCGAGATAATCTGGTATGCCAAATTGCCGCCATTTTCAGTATTATTTATTAGAATTGTAGTTCCCTTAAATGGTTTTTAATTTTCAAGATTGAAACAAACTCAATCATGTATAAAATAAAAATGTTTATTAAGGCAAATTTTTATATACATAAACGACTAAATGATATACACAATAATTCTAATTGCATTCTTGTAATTGAAAAGGAAAACACGAAAATTTGTAAACTAAAATCACAGCATGTAAATTCATAATTTTATAAGGCTCTTTCTTTCTTTTTTTTATATTTTATCCACTTTTATATAGATTTAAATATTAATAGTGATGATAAAAGAAAAAAAACATATTTTATGATGAAACATGTAAATAATTATATACAATTTCATTAATTGTAGTCGCAGTTACACATAAATTAGTGTTATGCCTGTTAAATATATATTTTTCTTCGAAAAATAGCAGGCTATGTATAATTTTTGGTAAAAAAAAAACATGTTTCTAAAATTAAAACTATAATAAATTCTCTGAAATAAGTAGAACAGGTTCATTTTTTTTCATCGCAAGATTTGAGGCAGTTGTAGCAAAACCAGACTTTCCGCTTCTGCGGATTGGCAATACCAACGCATTTAGAATGAAACCACAGGAGACACGAAGCGCAGAGGACGCAACTGTCTTCAAGCTGGGCTTCGCAGATGAAGCAGAGCCAGATTTCGTTTTCTCTTTTTGCATTTACAACTGTCAACAATAGTTGAAACGCGTCTGGTGAAAGTCGTGGCTTTATCAACTCGAGATCGACTGTTTCGTTCAAAATTGAGTGTTGTATTAATTTTGGGTCTGATTCTATATCGGCGACATCGAGAACGTCATTCTCGCCGTAACTTTGGTTTTCACCTTTCTTCACAATCCAATCGATCATCATTCTAATTTTTTCCGCTTTGGGCTTTAGGCTGAATTTCAGAGGTACATTCACTTTTCCATAATGACTAAGATCAATTTTTATTATTTTACTCGTCATTTGTGGATGTTTGAGCAATTTGACCTTTTGTAATTCTTCGTTCGAGTTTGTACTAACAGGAATTGTTTTGACAACTTTTTGAACTTTCTTTGTTTGAAGTACTTCAGGAGGGGAGACGTCTTTTTCAGGCGAGCCTGCTGAAAAAGCAGTAACTTTTACATTTTGCCCGTCACTCCATAAATTTCCAATTTCCTCTAAAACTTGTATTTTTTCTTCCAATTCATTTCCTGCTTGCCTACTCAAAATATTAAGTATCTTATCTGTTATTGTTATCGCTCTTCTTGTGTTTTCAGAAAGTTTATCATACTCTGAATCTTCTGTTGTTACATCCGACGTAACGAGTTTGTCTTTGATCAGTTTCTCAACTTCTTCCACTTCCAGCCTGTTTTCAATGTAGTAACTCTTAGTCCACCGCACGTTACATAAATCAGCACAAAAAAAATTCTCTTTGCAGGCTTTTCTCACAGCAAATATATGCTTACACGGTAGCATCATTGATCGCCAATCCCTGCATTCGCATGAATTCACAGAAGAAGGATACAATACCATATTTTCCTGAGTGATATACAGATTATCTTCGACCGTTTCCAAAATATTTACATTTTTCGACAAATTTATTTGATGACTGACATAATCAAAAGCGTAATTTGTCAAAAGTTGAGAATATTTATCAAGACAGCTCCCTCTTAAATTGAGGCTCGATGGTTTTTTCAAAACGTATGTTGAGGCTTTAAATTTAAATTCAACTTTTTGAATATTGATCCATTTGAACAATTGTTCTATAAATGACAAAAGAGGGGTGTTTTTTTGTATTATCTCTTTTACTCTTGCATCCACAGCCTCTGAAGTTTTTGAATCATCGACAAGAGTACCATTGGTCATATTGAAAAATGTCCAATCTTGTATGTTTGAACCCCAATCCTCATCAAAATAATCGACCATACCTTGAGGGGCCGATTTACAAAAACTAGAATATACACCTTTATAATCTTCGAGAGATCTCGAATATGCCATTTTACAAAAATAGTTCATACAATGTTCTTTTTTGGGTGTTAAAAACGACTCCGTGTCTAGGATGCGTTCGAAAAGTTTCAGAGAATAATACAACGACACAAAGGTGATTGTATGAGGAAAAAGTTGTTTCAGATGCGTCTCAACAAGATGTTTTTCTCCGAAAATATATTTTATCTTCAGATTATGATTATCAATATTTTCTTTAAATGTTTTAAAAAACCAACTAAAGCTAAGTTTGTCTTCTTCTTCTACAAGCCCTACACTGATTATTTCAAAATCACCGTTCGAGTCTTTAATTGTTGCAAGGATCACACTGAAGTTCTGTTTAAGCCAGCCCTGTATCGTCCAGATGTATATGACATCGTGCCAAGCATTCAATGACTTTTCCATAGCCTTCGTCGTCAAATATATCCCAATAAGATGTTCATCGTTGTCGTATAAAGTTGACCCATGTGCATCTGAAACAAGAAAAAGCTATTGAGTAATTGATTTTATATTCACTTTTATTAAGAAAATTAGAATTGGATTGCCAACGCTTACCAATTGCCAGTTTGAGTGATTCTAGCAAAGGGTGTATTTTACTCTTAGATAAAAAGTCTGTATCCTCATCACTTTCCGTCATTGAATCTGAGTCCTTTGATTCCCCCACTGATTTGACCTTTTTAACCTCTGAGGCCGACACGCCGACTCTGTACCTCGGCTTTTTGCACCAACGTCCTGCCTAACAATAAACAAATTTTAAAATATCTGCATTAAAAAAAAAAAAAAAAAAAAAAAAAAAAAAATACAAAGAAAATAGTTCGACATTAATACCCAAGGAAAATTTTTTTACAACAAAACAACAATAAACCAAGGTATAAAGTATTTCTTGAAATTAACTTTAATCATACAATATATCAATACCTCTTGTTCAAGATGGCCTTGATGATCATCGATGAAACTTTTGATCTCCAACTGATTGCCATCCATGGTTGCTCTTATTTTGATCTTTGCAGGGCAATCTATTTTATAAGTCCTACAAACAGTAACATCCTTAAAATATATTTATGTAATCATGATACAGTGAAACCCCTCTTAATGGGCTCCCCTCTCTAATCACCATCTCTATTAACAAACAATTTTTACACTTCCCAACAAATTTTTTTTATACTTTTCAAATATATACTGATCATGGACACTGCCGTCAGCCCCCATCAGGGTAATCCACGACTCTAGATGTAACCAGTAAAAATATATATTAAATGCCTGTATGAAAACATATTTGCTATGATCATTTTAAATTTTTTAAAAGTCAAACATGTTTCATGTAGGCTATTAACTGACAAAAAACAGTTTAATTTAAATTTCATGTTTTGACAGAGCTATTAGGAAATTCTTCGCCTTTTTTAAAGGAAGTTCTATTTCTCCTCACAAATCCTGTTCTGTGTTCATTTGAACATGTCTTGGCAATCTATTTTTAGGAAATACATGAGTACATTTTCGAAAGCTTTTTTGCAAGATGTCTAAAGACCAGGCTATTCTCACAAAACCTTCAAATATCTGTTTAAGGGCTCACCCTTGCATTAAAGAATGTTTGTAGTTGACTATGTATCATCTATCTGTCAAATAAAGGTTCTGTGGTAAGAGTGTGGTAAGAGCAATAAAACAATTGTCTCTAGCCGTCTTACATTGCGGTCGACCACCTCTTCTGAGGCTTCCGGTGGCCTTAAACCTCTGAAGACCATTGTGGATGATAGAGCACGGCACACTAGGACTTGGGCTTTGTAATGGACACTACGTCCGTCGTTGGACAGAGCATTTGCCTGACTCAAAAACATGCTTTCAAGAAGAAGAAAACTTTTTTACACAAATTTATTGTATCATCAAAGAAAACAATTTAAAAAAAATTCTGTCTTGTGAATTCGTTGTAGAGGGGTTTCACTGTAATACACATCTTTAAAATAACAACAAACCTGTAATAATATATGTTTACTACATTTTTTTTTTAACCAACACCCTAGTAGCTTAATAAACCAGCACCTGAGGAAGGCTGAGTGTGCAAAAGACTTCTTGAAGTCAACTCAACCTCAAATCTGGCTGTATGAAAATTTGGTAAGAATAAAATTTGTAGAAAAACTAAAAACCAAATTTTTGATTTCCACCTACGAGGAGCGATGCGGAGATGTAAGTAAATGTATAAGGCACATACCATTAAATCAAATCCCTTACTTACATTATGTTTTTACAGAAAATTAGGCCCCCAGTTTTTTCTGTTGGTGACTTTTCCAGTTTAGTATGACCACTTGGACAACAATAAACAGAAAAACTGTGTTGTGCATTTTTTAAACATTCAACCATTCTCTGCTCATGTTCTATAAAAAAAGTTTCAACTTTTTTTACAAAAAATTATGCTTGGATCAATCCAGCAACCATGCAGTGCTGTTGATTATAACTTCATTTTCCTTTTTTTCCTACTGCAAGTAAAACAGACCCAAGGAAATTAAATATAAAAATAATATGAATAATAGATGAAATAGCCGTTAAAACGACCTTAAAAATTAATAATATTGGGTTGTCCGGAAAATAATGCAGGATTTTGGTATTAAACAAAAAAAAAGAAACTAGTTACTTTAAAGCAATGTTCTTTAATCAAAATAATTTCCCATACTCTCAATACATTTCTCCCAACGTGTTGGTAACTTATTAATTCCGTCTGAGTAGAATTAAGAATTTTTAGAATTGATAAAGTCAATAAATGCATTTTCCAGTTCCGTTTGATTTTTGAATATTATGTGTTGTAAGTAGTGGTCCAGGTGTCTAAAAAAATGGTAGTCAGTAGGCGAGAGGTCCGGAGAGTAGGGTGGGTGAGGCAAAGTTTCATAGCCAAGCTCCAATAATTTTTGTGACGTTACACGTGACACATGTGGTCGAGCGTTGTCATGCAACAAAATGGGCCCTTTCCGATTGACCAAAGAGGGCTTCATTACTGCCAATTTCTGATGCATGGTATTAATTTGGTTACAGTATGATTCAGCATTGATGGTTTCGCCAGGATTTAAGAAGCTGTAGTGTATTAAACCAAATGAAGCCCACCATACCGTAACCATTACCTTTTTTTGATGAGTTGGGGGCTTTGGAAAATGTATTGGAGCTTCTCCTTTGTCGAGCCACTGTCCAGAACGTCTAGTGTTATCGTAGAGAATCCACTTTTCGTCACATGTAACAATTCTGGCCAGAAATGGGTCATTTTTGTTTCGACAAAGAAGTGATGCACAAACATCAAAGCGCTGATGTTTTTGGCGATCGTTTAATGAGTGTGGAACCCAATTTTCGAGTTTTTTCACTTTTCCAATCGCCTTGAGGTGGTCAGCGACGGTCGTTTTACTGACTTTGAGTTGCTCTGCAAGTTCTCGAACAGTTGTTTTGGGGTTTTCTTCCACCACTGATCGCAGAACATCATCATTAAGAGAGGAAGGCCTTCCACGACCTTCTTCATCTTCAAGGCTGAAATCTCCCTCCCGAAATTTTTTAAACCACCTTTGCACAGTGCACTCATTAACACAACCCTCGCCCCAGACTTGGTTAATGTTTCTAGCCGTTTGGGCTCCGCTTCGGCCGAGTTTAAACTCGTAAAAGAAAATCGTACGAAATTCTCGCTTTGACATTATAAGGATGACTGAATTATTTCCAAGTAGCGGAATGCTACAGAGGTAAACAAACAATATCATTTGGAAGAGGATTAATAAGTGTTGACATTCATACAAATGAGTAATCCTGTAAACGTAAACAGAATATTTTATATAGATTTTTTTTAATGAAAACTTAAAATCCTGCATTATTTTCCGGACAACCCAATAATAATAATAATAGATGAAATAATTTATCTAGCATTGATTAGGGATAGAAATAACACTAATTGTAAAATATTATGGTAAAAAATGACTACTTCCTTATTACTCTATCTGTGACTTCCTCTTTTTTCTACCGGCTATATCTACGGCTTGTTGCCTCTCACTGCCGCATCGGAGGGTTTTGTAATTCTATTAAATTTTTGTGCTTAATGGTTTATGTTCTACTTTTTTAATTTTATTATTTTTTAACTTAATTAACTATTAATAAACATATTCATAAATAATTAGATAAATAAATATACATGCAATAAATTTGTCACAATTTTCCTCAATATGAATAAATAAATAATTTACAATATAAACATCACATTTTAACCAGAATTAACAACGGCGTCAAAATTGTAACTACAGAAAATGGCCGTAAATAAATAGTGTGTAGCCCGCAATAGCAAGACAGGAGGTGTCACCTTTCATGTTGAATTAATTGCCTTTGCCATTTGAGTTTTTTTGGGCTATTTTTTTTAATAAAGTCTGAAAATAATTTATACTCTACTGGGCATGCGATTGTTTCTTTGAAGTTTGCCTCTGTAATAATCTTGTCCAAGTTTTTTCCAGACAGTATCTTTCATACTCATAGATTCCTTATTACTCTATTGCCTAATTAGTAAGCCTAACGGAAGAGGGGTTGGACTCACTTTACAATATTTATGCCAAATTAATATCAAATAAATTTCCAAGGGTTATGCCCAAACCCAAAACCACTAGGCAAATACAAGTTGGAATAATCCAGTACACTGGAAATCAGACATTTTTCTGACCAGTTTGCTAGTATATTTCACAGAAGATTGATCATCACTGATTACAGTGGCCAACCTATTAACGCTGGCTGTGTTAGATGTGAAAGGTATTCCCTTTCAGAATATGGATCGTCTCTCGATCCACTGCCCAGCTGGAGGCTGCAAGAGCGAGGCTCATTCACCTCATCCTGATGGGCACGATCTGTCAAAAAAGAAAACTTTGCAGTGTTTTTTGAATTTACTGGAAAATTAAATTTGCGCCATTTTAACAATATACAGGGTGCCCCAGTTCCTTCTGATGAAACTCAGGGAATCGATTATACTCTTCGTTTGGAGCATAAAATGCTCAGGAGAAAATTTTCGGAAAGTTCTCTATTTTGAAGATATTCGTCAATTTAGGTTTTTTTTAACTTTTCACTACCTTACCACATAAAAACGCTTACAACTTCCAAAATGTTGAGACTACAACAAATCCGATTACACCATTTGAAAGAACGCTAAATTTGCTGTAAGATACTTCTTTGCAATAATCTGAATGACATAAAATGTTAGCCAATATCAGTCGGAACATGCCAAAATTACAAAATTTAAAATTTTGGTCATGATTACACGTTCTACTGAGGTTACAAAAAATACCTACAACTTGTCAAATTTTACAAAAACTTCATCTAATTTGCTTTACGTCGATATATCCAGGTTTTTAAATAACGCTCTAGTAGAGTTGAAAAATAACAATTGAATGTTCGAAAACGTGAGCTAAGGTAAATTTGAAGGGGGGGGGTAGAAATAAATCAATTAGAACTCGCCTTGTAAAATAAAATTGACCATCTGTAATCTCACAAAAACCATACCAGAAAGCTTCATACAATAAAATGCAATGGTTCTTCTTGTAGCAAGCACCTAACAACAAATGAGGAACTTTTCAGAGGAAATGCTCAAAGTGTTTTCCCTCTTCTCGAATGCATAACTGACTTTCTGAATTTCTACCCCCCCACTTCAAATTTACCTTAGCTCATGTTTTCGAACATTCAATTGTTATTTTTCAACTCTACTAGTATGTTATTTAAAAACCTGGATATATCAACATAAAGCATATTAGATGAAGAAGTTTTTGTAAAATTTGACAAGTTGTAGGTATTTTTTTTGTAACCTCAGTGAAACGCAATCATGACCAAAATTTTAAATTTTGTAATTTTGAGATGTTCCAACTGATATTGGCTAACATTTTATGACATTCAGATTATTGCAAAGAAGTATCTTACAGCAAATTTAGCGTTCTTTCAAACGGTGTAATTGGATTTGTTGTAGTCTCAACATTTTGGAAGTTGTAAACGTTTTTATGTGGTAAGGTAGTGAAAAGTTGAAAAAACCTAAATTGACGAATATTTTTAAAATAGTGAACTTTCCGAAAATTTTCTCCTGAGCATTTTTTGCTCCAAACGAAGAGTATAATCGATTCCCTGAGTTTCGTCAGAAGGAACTGGGACACCCTGTATATACGTTGTACAGGTATAGAGCCGGAGGTCATGGGCTAGAGTCCCGCTTGTGGCATTAATTTTTCATCTTAAACAAACTATAAAATTTATAATTCAATTTAAACAATTACTTTGGCTAACTAGGACCAACTAAAATATATGGATTAATATGCAATGTACTTAATCTTATTTTAAAACGTAAAAAAATGACATTTGTGGAGCATTTAAAGAAATAATATTAAATAAATAATTAAAGCAGATAGTGTTCAAGATGTTGAAACATTACCATTGACGATCAAGCTATAGGTTCATCAGCTTGCAATTCTCACGACAATGTTTTACAAATAATGAAAAATGGCAAAAGGAGGGAAAACTCATAAGGTGGGGTTGAGAAGGGGAGTTGATGCCCGAGTGGATCGAGGTCACGATAGCTTAGGTGGTAGAGCAGCGGCGTATCTAGCCGAAGGTCGTGGGTTCGAATCCCTCTCGTGCCATTAACTTTTTTTCATCTCAACTAAAAACCTTAATTAATTGTCTTGTTTTACAAATAGCACAATGCTACATAAAATCTTTCAAGTCATATTTTCCTCATAAATAACCATCACACATAGATAAAATGTTAAAAATGTAGCCTTATTAAAGAATTTACAAACCGCTCACCCCTTTCTTCGTAAACCTTTGCTGCGCGTCTTAAACTCAATCCCACCGTGTACGCAGGAGTACTGCAACTCGTAATATTTGATCTTCTTGTTGAGAGGCCTTCGCAGGATCTTCCTCACCGCTTCGACAGACCGGCTGCTCCGTATCCAGAACTTCTGCTTCTTTTCAGCCTCGTAGGCCTTTATGAACTCTGACACCTCCTCGAAGGACCTGAACCTCTTCCCGACGTATATGTCACATCTGCCACCTTTCTCTCCCATACCTGAAGTTAAAATAGGTACTTTTTCCTAAATAGAAGAGTGAGGGATAATGAAATAAATGGTAAAAGGTCAGCTCCGAGGCTTGTTTACTTACCCTTCGTGCATTGTTTTAATACCGTCGGGAAGCATCTTCCTTTTTTTTATTTACAATTGTTTAAACGAGTTATATCTGAAAGAATACACTTTCGTATTTCGGCTCTTGGCTATGAGCGTTGCGTTAAGTGGGATACTGCGAAGCTTGCCTTCACCTAACCCGATTTAACCTTCGATCTCCACTTCAGGTTGAAGTTATTTTGCCGTTTTCTTCTGGGCCAATTTTAAGCGATCGTACCTGGAATGCGCGGAAAAAACCGTCGTTTGTAAAAAGAAGAAAAGCCCGACTAATTTAGCTTTTGGGAACTGATAATAGGCAAATTTCAGTACAAGGGAAATTTAACGAATCTGCGAAAATCGAAGAAAGCAGAGCCGAGCTGCCAGGCCTGTTTTCTGTTAACCAGATTTGCCGCGGTTGCCGCTCCAATGCAGTACTTTCCGCTTCAGGGAATTTTCCCCAGAACATCAAGCCCTAAGATTCTTCCAATTTATACCAATAACCATTTATTTATTTGACAAAAAAAATAAAAAAAAAATAAATAAAGGCAAAAACACTAAAAAAATAAAAAATGCAAATGAAGGAAATTTCACAGAGTCGTTTTTCAAAAGATGGTTCCTACTCACATTAAGTTGTTTCGCAACAATCCGGATTTCGAGCCCTTTAGCTCATAAAACAACTTAATGTGAGTATGAACCATCTTTTTTTTAAAAAAAGGATTGAACTCCACAGTCACTCCATCATTCATAATTTCTAGGAAGTTTCACAGAGTGGAATAATAAAAAAAATTGTCATAATTTTTTATTTATTTATTACCTAATGTTTGCATTTTTAGGCAAACTTACTTATATTATCAATGAGAACTAGCATTTTTCATACCATTAATGTTAAAAAAAAAAAAAAAAATGAAAAGAATCATCATAGTATTTTTATTGCACAAAATATTGCATTTATTCTCTTTTTTGTGGTTTTATGTATCCTTTCTTTATTTGTAACCATTACTAGCATTTTCCTTTAAATAATAATTAGATTTACCTGTTCGATACCAGGCCAAAGCAAAATGAAAAACATAAGATGCAATAAACTCTGGACACCAAGTAGACTCAGTGTATACTGATTTTTCTAAAGCTTTTGATAAAGTAAATCACACAATACTGTTAAGGAAACTAATGGATTATGGTTTCACCGGAACTACCTTGAATTGGTTATCCAGCTTTCTCTCTGGCAGAAAACAAATAGTCAAAATAAAATCATTTAACTATGTGCTAACCTGGTGCTCTAATAACAAACTTGCTCTTAATGTTTCCAAATGCTACACAATTACATTCTCTCATAAGAAACAACTTTTTTATTTATCTCTATACTCTCCATAATGCTCTTTTAATGCGAGTTGAAGTCGTAAAGGATCTTGGTGTACTTTTTGATCAAAAGCTCAAGTTTAAAGAACATATTTCTTCAATAAAAAATAGATCTATGAAGATGCTAGGTTTCATCATCCAGAACACCTATGAATTTAAAAATCCTCTATGTTTTGTCCATCTTTATAAAACTTTTGTACAGCCCATACTAGAATATGCTACACCTGTTTGGAACCCATTCTATCTAAATTATCAAAAAATTCTTCAATCTGTACAAAACAAATTTTTAAAAAACTTTCCTACAAACTCAATCTTCCTCCGAATTCTGTCTACCCTGGAATCCGCTCTGAATTTAAACTTTTCGAATTGGCACCAAGAAGAGATTACTTTGATATTGTTTTTGTATTTAAATTATTAAACAATCTCATTGATAGTCCTTCTCTCCCCTCTCAACTACAGCTACCCTTCGCACTCTCTTAAAACCTATAAATTATTTTATATTGAATTCTAAAGCTCTAACTACATGCTCTCTTCTCCTCTACACAGAATGATGATCAAGAGTAACAACATCTGCAATAGCATTGACTTTTTTAATAGTTCTGTGCAATCTGTGAAAAACCATATCCTACAACCTTAGTTGAATGCTTTTATATTTCATACTGTACAAAATTATTACAATTTATTTCATTTACTGGTTCAATTAATTCTCACACTCTAGTCTTATTATATATTTACAAAGAGCATTATTTTCATTAAATATGTACCTAATTATTGTAGTTTCAATTGTCTTATTTTGTTTCCTCTGCCTTATTTGGTTAGTAATTATGTCTTTCATTTTTGTTGTTCAGTTTTTACTCTTTAATTGTATTTTTATATTTATCATTTATATTTACCATTTATATCATTACCATGTATATACGTCCTTATTCTTTTTATATATATTATTTGTATTTTTACATATATTATTTATATATTTTGTTATTGTAAAATGTCTTTTTTTTAGTGGATTTCGATCCGTAAATAAATAAATAAATAAAACAACCTAAACTACCGCCAGTAATGCAACTAGACAATGAAAAGAATCTTCAGAGGATTGTTATAACAGAATATTACATGTCTTTTTGTTCTTTTAACCATACTTCCACATATTTGTAACCATTACAAACATTTTCCCTTAATAATTAATCTGATTCACCCAGAAAAAAGTTCAATATAAGGTTAAAGAAAAAGGAAAAACATGTAAAAATAGCTAAGTAAACACCAGTAATGTAAAAAGAATCTTTAGAAGGTTGTTATAACAGAATATTGCACGCCTTTTTGTTCTTTTATCCATACTTTCATATATTTGCAACCATTTAACATTTTCAAGGGCTAGGGTCTTTCTTGTGGTATGAATTTTTCATCTTAACCACACTATAAAATTTATAATTTAATTTAAATAATTACTTTGGCTTACTAGGACCAGGTAAAACATATGGATTAATATGTAATGTACTTAGTCTTATTTAAACAAAAATGAATAAAAAACTACATATTATACTATTTGTGTAGCATTTAAAGAAATAATATTAATTAAATAAATAATTAGAGCAGACAGAGGGTTCAAGATGAAAAATACCTAAGCAAACATTAGTAATATAAAAAGTATCTTTAGAATATTTATAACTGTTACTAACATTTTCGCTTAATATTCACCCTCACAAAAGTTCAATGTAAGGCTAAAGAAAATGGAAGAACATAAAAAAATAGCTAAGCAAACCCCAGTAATATAAAAAGAATCTAATGAAAAGAATCTTTAGAGGGTTTGTATAGCAGAATATTAAACACCTTTTTGTTATTTTATCCATACTTTCATATATTTGTAACCATTACTAATATTTTCTCTTAATTATTAATAAGATTCACCCCACAAAAGTTCAATATCAGGCAAAAGAAAAAGGAAGAAAATGTAAAAATGGCAAAGCAAACACCAGTAATATAAATAGAATCTAACAAAAAGAATCTCAGAGGGTTTTTATAGTAGAATATTACACACCTTTTTATTCTTTTATCCATACTTTCATATATTTGTAACCATAACCAATATTTTCCCTTAATTATTAATCAGATTCACATGAAAAAAGTTCAACATAAGGCTAAAGAAAAAGGAAAAACGTAAAAATAGCTAAGCAAACACCAGTAATATAAAAAGAATCTAACGAAAAGAATCTTTTGAGGGTTTTTATAGCAGAATATTACACGCCTTTTTGTTCTTTTATCCATACTTTCATGTATTTGTAACCATTACCAATATTTTCCCTTAATTATTAATCAGATTCACGTGAAAAAAGTTCAACATAAGGCTAAAGAAAAAGAAAAAACGTAAAAATAGCTAAGAAAACACCAGTAATATAAAAAGAATCTAATGAAAATAGGGTTGTTAAAACAGAATATTACACACCTTTTTGTTCTTTTATTTATCCATTAATATATTTGTAACCATTACTAACATTTTTCCAAATTAATAATTAAATTTACCTGACAAAAGTAGAATATCAGGCCAAAGCAAAATGAAAAACATAACCAAGCTAACTACAGCTAACCAAACTAATGTAAAAAGACAATGAAAAGAATTGTCACTTGGATTACACTTGCATTTTCTACTTGGATTACAATTAATTAATATCTGACTTTTGTAGTTTTATACCTCCTCTCTTTTATTTGTAATCCCAACTAGCATTTTTTTCTAAATAAATAATCAGCTTTTACGTGGCAAAAGTTCAATTCCGTGCTAAAGCAAAACGAAAAACATATAATATAAGCTAAACAACCATCAGTAACATTAAAAAAAATGTTCAATGGATTATTATCCAACAATTATTAGATTTTTTTTGGCGTTTTATGCATTCTTTGTTCTATTTGTAACAAGAACTAGCATTTTTCCTTAATTAATAATCATCTTATTGTATTTTTAGGCATCTTTTTATTTTTTTGTAATAAGAAATAGCATTTTGCTTTAATTAAAAAACAGCTTTTTCAGCTTAAAATATGGTTATTAAAACAGAAAATAGTACCAATACTACCAAAGTATTGAACAATAAGACAAAATCATTTAAAAAATAACTCTTATTCATCAGCAAGTGTTTTACCATGTCTCGCACAAGGATCTCCTGTACAAATTAAAGCATGTCCTACCAAATACCCCTACTTAATCCTCCTTTAGAGTCCGACAAGGATCATATTACACTAAATACTGCTCTCTGGCTGTGGGAGTACTGCAGGACAGTGTGCTCGGACCAATCCTCTATAACCTTTATATTGCAGATGCTCCCACTAAAACCTTTTCACATCTTTTGCTGTTGATGCAGCTGTACTATCTTTTATTCCTGATCTGCTTTAGATTTTCAGGGACATATCACAAGTTTAGGAACAGAAAATGGAAAATGAAAGTAAATGAAAGCAAGTGCATCCATGTCACATGCACTCTCACAATATGTTGCAACAACATTCCTGTCCTCAAAACTGACCACGTTCGTTACCTTGGGTTCCACTTGCATTCAAGCTTAATGAGGAATCAGCATATCGGATTGAAATGACAAGACCTAAACAGATGCTATGGTCTACTATACACATTTTGGGATGACAATTGACAAAGCTATAGCTATTGACGAATTTACAACCGATTAAGACATATGGTATAGAACTGTAGGGGAACCGCTAAACCTTCCAATATCCAATTTTTCCAATCCTTTCATCTAAAGTCTATCGATCAATTATAAATGCTCCGTATTACGTCTCAAATGCTACCCTCCACAACAACCTTAAAATTCCATTTATCAAAAATATAATTCATCAAAAATTTTCCAAGTTCACAAAATATCTCCCACACACCCCAACAGTCTCGCCCAAGCCTTGTTCAACAGAACTGATCCCTACAATCCCATAGGTGTAATGATGAATGGATTCAATCCACGATGAAATGGCCTCGAATTCTCCTTTCTGAAGAGTAGGTAGTGAAGTTCATTTAGTGAAGTGAAGTGGGAGAATAATGTTGATTTTTGCTCCTCCCAATGTAAATTTGTAAATTGTAGAATCTAATATATCTATTATCATCAAATTACATATTGTAATCAAAAATTGCAGATTGTAAAAAAAAATATATATATATAAAAGTTAACTAAAAACTAATAAAATAGAAAATAAATTGTTGCAATGCAATCTTTAATTGGATAAACCAAATCTACACTCTTTCATATGACTGTTGTATTTGTTATGCTTTCATGTAATAATATACAGGCATACAAAAGACAGTTCATTGAATCTACAATTATCTATGAAAAAGAATTACCTATAGGTATGGCAGGATTTTTTGTAAAATTTAAAATGATATTTAGAATTAATTAATTTATAAACAGCATATATTGAGTTTTACTTATATCACGCACCTGTCCAATATTACAAAACAATAGGGTATTATTAAAATAATAATATATAATTATAAAATTGAAGTGTAAACAATGTATTAAAAAAAAGTAAGATTGACTTTGCAGTTTGGTCGTTTCCAATAATTTTAATCTAAAAAACCCGCAAGCCACAGGGAGAAATTTGATAAAATAGTTATTTTAAAATTTAGGCATTTATCTTGGGAATTTGTTGAAGTACTTTTGAATGAAAACCCATGTACATAGTACATACCTAAATATAATGTTAACATAAAAATTTAAATTTTATAAATTACAAGTGATCTATGTATGTGTTTATTATTTATAAATGTAATCTTTGAATAGTATTATGTAAAAAATTATTTAAAATGTACAGGAAATTGGGAGGAAACATTTGAAACCATGATTGATGTAGATTATATTTATTGGACAAATTGGCCAGCTTTGAATTTAAAGATATGTCAAGCATTAATGTGGTCTTGTTAACAACAATGAAATGTTCAGATAAAATGATGTTTAAAGTGCAATAAAAGGTACATTTTGCGTATATTTTTACATTATACACATAATTTGTCTATGGTAAGTGAGCATCAAGCTGGACTTTCAGTCGTCTTATTGGTGCTTCCAAACCTAGACTTGTAGACTCCATCGGGGTCGTAGAGCTTTTGCAACTTTTTGAAATCTTCCGGTTTGTTGTCCACCGTGTATTTGGCCACTTTTTCGAACAACGCCCTCAACTTTTTGCTGCATTTAGCACAGTCGGTAGCTAAGATCTCTGGCAGGACGTCTATAGAAAAATACGCATTGAAAAATACATTTGAGAGTAGTTTAATTTAGAAATTTACCTTTTAAATCTTTCTGGTCAGGAGTGCAAGATCCCTCGTTGGTTAGACAGTCCACGTAACGTTTGAAAAGCCTTTGGTTCTTTAGCACCGCGTCCACGTCGATGTCTTCTAAAGCCGACGAGTACGTCTCAGCTCCGTAGACGACCACGAAACAAAGAACGACGCAGAAAAACACAGAACATTTGAAATCCATGATCGTTTGTTCTTTACTGAATAGTTGAACGGAGCCCGTCGCTAATATATGGTGTGTCAAAAGGAGATACCATCTCCCGTTTCCTTAATACGACGACCTTAACCAAGTTCCATTCATACAAATTTTTCTTTGAAAGATGCATTCCTTGCCATTATCCTTCTAAATAATTCAATTATAAAAATATTCAATAACAATAATAATTGAATTGAATCTGAAAGTCAACATGATGGCTAAAGCGCGCCTCCTAACCAATGAGCAACTGTTTGAGTTGATGTAAGTTTTCTGCTTTAAAAAATGACTATTTCCTTTAAAACAGGCAATTTTGCTCATACAATCGCACTTTGTAATGCATAAAAAAATGAATTTTTAAGAATACCCTTTAAAAATAGGTAAACCAGAAACAGAAGATTTCAGAACATCTTGTTCATATATAAAAAAAACTCTCCAGAAAGAAATTAATAAAAGCCACACCAAAATTTGTTTTGTAAAAAGAGGGAATTTCAAAAAATTAAACAAATGAATTGGTATAAATTAAGCAGTTTTTTAAAAATTAAGGTTAATAAATGATTATTAATAATCCGTAAATATGTTAGTAGTAAGCAACAATAAATCTCTTAATCTTTTATGAATTTCTAAAATAATAACCGTCAGTTCATGTGAAACAACCCAATTTTTTGAACTGTGGGACGCGTTTCACTATCTTCAGTTGTGGGTTTGTGCTTCTTCTTACTTACAAACTTGACAGGGACACCGAAGATAATGAAATGCCGAAACGAGAGCAAACCAGCGAGGATATTAGACAAAAATGATAACGACCAAATTTTAGGTTCACCACCTAGCTGACAACTTGGAGAAATTTTACGATTTGTTTATTGTTCGTTTAATTGCTTTGTCTGTTTATTTATTCATTTACTTTAAAAATAAAATAACCCAACCAAACCTATATATTAATCTTACCCTAATCTTGAACCTACCTAATATAATCGGTCTTAACTTAATCTAAGCGCTAAAAAAAGCGTATCCAGCCCAAAATCACTCATTCTAATATGTAATATTCATGTCAAAAGCCAATCTTCCAAAAGATGGAAGATAATTCAGTTGAAATACAACAATTTAAAATTAAACTTATAGTTTTTACTTCTTTTGTTTGACTTTTAACTTAACGAGGCTTCAAACGTACAAAAAGCGATATTTTTGACGTAAACAATTTTATAACAAGGAGTGTATACATTGGATAAAATGAAACTACGAATCGGTCAATTTGCAAACATCAAGAAAATATCTCATAAGATTTGTTTTGATCGATACTTTATTTAAAAGTTTATTTGTTGGAATTGTTTACTTCTTAGTTTATTGGTTTATTTGTTGAGTTGTTTGGTTTGATTATTTATTCATTTAATCGTTTATTTATTCAATTTGCGAACATCAACAAAATATCCCATAAAATTTGGTTTGATTGATAATTTATTTAATAGTTTATTTATTGGGATTGTTTACTTCTTAATTTATTCGTTTATTTGTTGAGAGGTTTGATTATTTGTTCATTTAATCGTTTATTTTTTTTAATTTACAAACGTGAACAAAATATCCCATAAAATTTGGTTTGATTGATAATTTATTTAATAGTTTATTTATTGGGATTGTTTACTTCTTAATTTATTCGTTTGGTTTGTTTAGGTATTTAACAAGAGTAAATTTTAAGCTTATTTATTTATATTAGTAAGTATTTTACTTATTTTAGCCTAAATTTACTTATTTATTTATTATTTCGTAGTGACTGTTTTCAATTTATTTATAAAATTTCATTTTTAGTTTGTTGCTTCATCTCCTTACTTATTCATTTACTTTAACCTATGTTTTTGAGTATTTTGATTGTTACAGATTATTTTTGTCTATCTCTCAATGGTATTTAGATATTTTATGTTAAAAACCAAAACTCTAAAATAAGTAAGAAAATAAACTACAGTTGAGTTTCGTGCGATAATCCTACAATTTGGCCTTTACCGATCATTTTTGTTTGTGTATCCTGTGTTGGGTCTGTGCGTTTTTCTCGCTTGTGTCCTTTCCCAGACCTACACTTCAAAGAATGTTTCGTTACTTCATTCGAGGTTAGGTGGAAAAATGATCTAAGCGACTACCAACATTACAAATATCTTCTGACTTGTTTAAAGTTACTTTATTGGATTTAACTATTTTTTAGTGGGTATATCTTAAAGATTCATTTTTATGCATTACAAAGTGTGATTGTACGAGCAAAAATGTTTTGTTTAAAAAGGAAATAGTGATTTTTTAGACCAGAAAACTTAGTTAACCTCAAATTGTTGTACTTTGGTTAAAGGTGCGGTTCAACTATCATACTTAACGTTTTAAATATTTTTATAAAGTAATTTAGAAGGATAATGGAAGGAATGACATATTTTCTTTCAATGAAAAATATCTTTAAGAATGGAAATTGGTTAAGGTCGTCGAATTAGGGAAACGGGAGATGGTATCGCCTTTTGACACACCATATATAAACGACAGGGTCCATTCATCTCTTCAGTAAAGAACAAACGATCATGGATTTCAAATGTTCTGTGTTTTTCTGCGTCGTTCTTTGTTTCGTGGTCGTCTACGGAGCTGAGACGTACTCGTCGGCTTTAGAAGACATCGACGTGGACGCGGTGCTAAAGAACCAAAGGCTTTTCAAACGTTACGTGGACTGTCTAACCAACGAGGGTTCTTGCACTCCTGACCAGAAATATTTAAAAGGTAAATTTCTAAATTAAACTACTCTCAAATGTATTTTTCAATGCGTATTTTTCTATAGACGTCCTGCCAGAGATCTTAGCTACCGACTGTGCTAAATGCAGCAAAAAGTTGAGGGCGTTGTTCGAAAAAGTGGCCAAATACACGGTGGACAACAAACCGGAAGATTTCAAAAAGTTGCAAAAGCTCTACGACCCCGATGGAGTCTACAAGTCTAGGTTTGGAAGCACCAATAAGACGACTGGAAGTCCAGCTTGATGCTCACTTACCATAGACAAATTATGTGTATAATGTAAAAATATACGCAAAATGTACCTTTTATTGCACTTTAAACATCATTTTATCTGAACATTTCATTGTTGTTAACAAGACCACATTAATGCTTGACATATCTTTAAATTCAAAGCTGGCCAATTTGTCCAATAAATATAATCTACATCAATCATGGTTTCAAATGTTTCCTCCCAATTTCCTGTACATTTTAAATCATTGTTTCTACAAACTATACAAAGGTTAAATTTATAAATAATAAACGCATACGTAGATCAATTTTAATTTACAAACTTTAAATTTCCATGCTAACATTATATTTAGGATTTTGTAATATGTTCATGGGTTTTCATGCAAAAGTCAATAACCAAAATTAATTTCTTATTTCAACGAATTTCCAAGATAAATGCCTAAATTTTAAAATGAAATCAATTTTGTCAATTTAGTCGATATATGTTGTGTGGTTTTTGGATTAAAATTATTATTCGGAGATCTTGAGATGCGGTCTGTGTGACGTAGGTTTTAGAGAAACATTTTCTTTATCGTGCCAACGTTTCAATCTTTATTGAGATCATCTTCAGGGAACTCTCAACACGACAAACAAGAATAACACATCTACACGGAAAACAAACACTTTAAGCCTTCCAGGTGATCTCAATAAAGATCGAAACGTTGGCACGATAAAGAAAATGTTTCTCTAAAACCTACGTCGCACAGACGCATCTCAAGATCTCCGAATAATAATTGACTAACGATCATTAAACAACACACATTAAAATAATTGGTAACGACCAAACTACAAAGTTAATGTTATTTTTTTTAAACATTTATAGTTTAAATTACTAAAAGTAGTAACTTTTATTTATGTTTATACTTCAATTTTATAAGTATGCATTAAATAGTATTATTTTTTATAATACCCTATTGTTGTTTAATATTGGGCCTAGTGGCGTTTTAAATAAAACTGAAAATGTGCAGTTTTTAAATTAATTAATTTAAACGATTTTGGTTGCTAAATATCATTTTAAATTTTACAAAAAAATCCTACCACAACTGTAGCCAATTCTTTTTCATTGATAATTGTAGATACAATGAACTGTCTTTTGTATGTCTATATATTACATGAAAACATAAAAAGTTACAAAAGGAAAAGATTTGGTTTGTACAATCAAATATTGCAATGCAACAATTCATTCGTACTCAGTTGGGCGGTAGATATAGTAAAATTCGGCAAAACATTGCCATTATTAGATTGGTAAAATATCCCAAGAAGCCACACTTCTTGTTTTTACACGCGCCTACAATAAAAGAAAGAATGCAATAAAACTATAAAAAGACAGATAATATTTATTGGTAACAATCCTCGCAAGAATCTTTTCATTGTCTTTTTTACATAATTGGTGTTTGTTTACCTTGTTTTATATGTTTTTAATTTTTCTTTAGCCTTATATTGAACTTTTTTCGGGTGAATCGGATTAATAGATAAGAGAAAATGTTAGTAATGGTTACAAATACATGAAAGTATGGATACAATAATAAAAAGGTGTGTAATATTCTGCTATAAAAACCCTCCAAAGATTCTTTTCGTTAGATTCTATTTATATTACTAGTGTTTGCTTAGCCATTTTTACATTTTCTTCCTTTTTCTTTTGGCTGATATTGTGGGGTGAATTTGATTAATAATTAAGAGAAAATATTAGTAATGGTTACAAATATATGAAAGTATGGATAAAATAATAAAAAGGTGTGTAATATTCTGCTATAAAAACCCTCCAAAGATTCTTTTCGTTAGATTCTATTTATATTACTAGTGTTTGCTTAGCCATTTTTACATTTTCTTCTTTTCTTTTGGCTGATATTGTGGGGGGAATTTGATTAATAATTAAGAGAAAATATTAGTAATGGTTACAAATATATGAAAGTATGGATAAAATAATAAAAAGGTGTGTAATATTCTGCTATAAAAACCATCCAAAGATTCTTTTTATATTACTGGTGTTTGCTTAGCTATTTTTCA